TCTGAACAATCCATCCTTAAATCATGTGCCCTAAGTCAAAGCTTGCCTGTATTTGGCACATTGGAATACATTACTAATTTATTCATTTAAATCTTGGACTTCATGTAAACATAATCAATAAACTATGAATCAGCTTTTCACTGGAGATTCACATGGATTTTTTTCATCACCCACTTGGTTTCTCTAGTAATAAGGTAATTAGTTTCCCAAACTCTCAGGTTGTCCGATTTAATTAAAAGGTTAGTACATGAAAAAGCAAACTATAATTTTATAATTATTTAATCTTATGCTACAAATATTAACTCTGCAGAAGTGTACAGAAAAATTTGAATGCATTGTAATTTCAAAGAACTTTATGTACATTAATGAGACGTTAAGACTAAATTATATTTTAATTTATTCTAATATTTGAATTTCACAAAATTCCGCAAAATGATGTAATTCCATTATTATTGACCAAGTTCCCCTCTTGAAACATGAAGACATGGTGACCTTCCTTCTAACTCTTTCTCTGGATCATTATTTAGGTGCCAAGCAATTTGTCACAGCCTGAGTTTCCACTTTCATTTAATAACTGAAACCTAAATGTTACCATCAAAAACCACTGGTCTGTTGCGCAGTGATCCACACAACAACAGTGAACTTATGTCTCCGTAAATTTGTTAGTCATCTATGAGGAAAAGCAATGCTGACCTCGTAATGTCAAATCCCATTTAGAGCTGGTGAATAGGTTGGATGAGGTACTTGATGTCTTTTGAGCTGTATTAAGAAATACACTTCAGTGTAGGAGGATGAAAGCCTTGGTAAATTAATGTGGAGATTGTGGCCTATCCAAATAATTTATAGTAGAATCCCATCTTCCAGAAGAAAAGAATGCAGTTAATAAAGGTTCTGACTCCAGTAAACAGTTTCAGGCAACACATGCTTTTCAGTAAGTACTTGAAGTATCAACAGTGACCTTCCACCTTCACAGCCTCCTACCTGTGTCTTTTTCCTACAATTTCATTAGTAAGAAGCTGTTCATTGCTTTTCCACAAGCAGAAATTTCAAGCTCATTGGAAGGGCATAACCTGGTTTTTAAGATTATTTTATATGTCTGGATTGACGAATTGGATTACAAAGGTACTTTTTAGCTACTTCCAGTCTCTTTTGGGTATTTTTTTTAAAGCTGCAATTATCAAATCAAAAGCAAATTACTTATGTAAAACTATTTTTTAGGCATTTTGACATTTTAATGCCAAAGAATCAAAGAATAAAATACAATTTCGCTTGAATTTCTTAATTGCCAGCTTTTTTTTTCTTTGAGTTTAGGTGAGTACATGCCCACTCCTTCTCCCAGGAGAGAGAGGCTATTTCCCCAAACTGGAATCACCATGTCTTCCAAAGCAGAAGTTTCAAGAGAGCAACATGACTTCATGGTGACCACACTGAACATATTTATGCAATGGTTACTTTAAAGAAAGAGTCAATAGCATGTATAAATATTGGTTGATTGGTTTTCTGTATTGACGATCTAAATTCAAAATTTCCATTGCCTTAAAGTGCTCATAATTTCTCCCTTGGATAATGGCAGTAATCTTTCTATTACTTCCTCCAAGCTTCATTTAAATTTTCTGTAGTTAATGTTGTGATGTGCAAATCAACTTCTATTACCTCTTGCTCAAAATCTTTCTGAGATTTGTCAATGGCTTCAATAGCTTTGGTTAATATTCAGACTGTTTATGAGGACAAAGGGGGCCCTTTCTGACATGAGGTCTGTTCCCTGCTCACCTCTTATCATCTGTCATCAGTGGGCAAACAAGCATTTTTCTTCCTCCTAATTTGCCATGCTCATCCATGCCCCTGCGCCTTTGTTCCCATTGTTCTGTCGGTCTAAATGACATTCTCTTAACTATTGTGCTGTAATAATTACTTCAAGTGTCCCTCCAAATCCCTACATGGGCCTCTCAGAGGTGCAAAACATTTACTGGGTACCCACAGTTCTTGTAATGTATTGTGAGGATTGACTTTGTGTTTCTTCTAGAGCATTAAGTCAATGAGCTCCTCAGGGGTCTGGCCATGTGTGGCGAATGCTGGGTAAGTGTTTCTTAAGTAAAGGAAACAACATACCGTGAGACAATGGTTTACTGTGAGATAATTCTTCTGTGTTCTCCTCGTGTGTCTTTCTTTTCCATGATGTTTCCCTAATCAGTGAGATGCCACACAATGTCATTTAGGAAATTTAGAGTTCTTATACAGTGGGAATGCTTATTTTAATGTTTATTTTTAACTTCAACATGAATTCTTACAAATAATGATCTAACATAACTGTTATAGGAGATATTTACACTGTAATTCCTTTATTGAATATAATAGAGGTTAGGATATTTTGATTTCCACATTTTTGGGTATTGTCATATGTATCATCTATTTCTTTTTATTGTCACACATCTTAGTGTGTGTTGTTTAAGGAGAATTATGATCTAAAATATTTTGTTCACATTTAGTTTTGTTGTATCTTTTTCTCCATTCTTTAAGCTTGTAAGAATGGTGTGCTTCTCATTTTAACTGGTGTAATTAATGCTTTTTTTTTTTTTTTTTTTTTTTTTTTTGGTGAAAGGCATTCATTTTTCCCTGTGACATAAACTTTTCTAGAGCTCCCAAGATTCTAGGGAGTCCAGCCAATGTCACACTGCTTCTTATAGTAGAAGCTGTGTTTGCTAAATAAATAAATATCAAACAAATAAAAAAGAAATGTTTGGAAGAAAGCCTGACAGAGTTTACACAAAAAATGGACTGGAAAGAGATGAGAGAAGGGGATAAACTGCATCGTTCCTAGACCCTGAGATGATAGCACGTAAGTAACCAGAGGTGGGATTGGAAGGTGCACAGAAAGGATTGATGGGTGTGCATGTTCTTATTTTGTTTATTTTTTTTGAGACAGAGTCTGGCTTTTTCACCCAGGCTGGAATGCGGTGGTGTGATCTTGGCTCACTGCAATCTGTGCCTCAGGGGCTCCAGTGGTTCTCCTGCCTCAGCCTCCTGAGTAGCTGGGATTACAGGTGCATGCCACCATGCCTGGCTAATTTTTTTCTATTTTTGGTGAAGATGGAGTTTCACTGTATTGGCCAGGTTAGACTGGAACTCCTGGCCTGAAGTGATTCACCCAGCTTGGCCTCCCAAAGTGCTGAGATAACATGCGTGAGCCACTGTACCCAGCCTCAGGAGTGATCTTTGAGGAACTTGGAGCTAGTGCTGGAAAGCGACTAGCTTGGAAAAGTCCAGTTGTAGTGGTGAGGGAAAAGGTGGTAGCACTGGAGAGACAGAAAGCGATTTTAAGATATCAGTAAATGTTGGAGTGAAGTACTGATAACAATCTACAACATAGAGGAAATTTGAAGACTTGTGCTCCGTAAAAGAAGCCAGAAAGACCATAAAATATTAATAATGTCCATAATCCTATGTTTATAAATAGGATTAATGTCCAGAATAGGCAAATCTACAGAGAGATTTTTGCCTAGTAACGGGTAAGAGGAAAACCCAGGGAAAATGGGGAGTGATGGATAATGGGTACAGTTTCTATTTTAGATACAAAATTAGACTGTGTTGATAATTGCACAACGCCGAATACATTAAAAATCTAAATTATGATTTTAATGAATAAATTTTATTCTAAGAAAATTATATTTCAAGAAATCCATTTTAAAAAGGATTAGCAAATGTTACACAATTGCTCTTCTCAATGGTCCCATTTTGTCCTCCCCGAGTTTTTCTCAGCTACCCGGTTTCATCCCCTTGAAAAGGAGGCAGGGAGAAATACTGACAGGAACTCTCTGAGCATCTTTTCCTGGAAATGACTGAAAATAATAAAATGTAACAATAGGGAATCATAAACACATCCCTTAACATGTGAGACTGGTAACATCTGACTGCACCCCTTTTATACTTTATTATCTAAGGAGAGATCTCAGAAAGAGATTCAGGGGGGTGTTTTGTATTTGATTTACTTGATTTCCCAGAATTTTAAAATTTGGGCATTTACAACTTCAATTATTACAGAAAGATTTCATGTTGGCAATTTAAGCACAAACACCATTAGAAAGTGTGGGCACACTTACTTTCATTACTTCAAAAAATAGGCTCAATAACTGATAACAAAGTGAACATTGGAGCACAGGCATTTATATCCTGTTTATCTCAAGCACAGAGCCAATCTGGAACTCTAATTCCTTTAGAAGATGATAAATGTTTTCTGCCAGTCTTTCCAACTGAACAAACTCTGTTTGATTGGTATTAATCACTTCTGGCAGGCGATGTTCAAGCCTGCTAGCTGCAATCTAGGTGAAAAGCTTGTCATCAGTATCACATAATGAAGTGAAAGACTAGGGGACAAAGAGAAGAAATATTTCCATTTACCTAGTCATCAGAGTAACTGTCAAGTTAAATAAGATATGAACTATCTGTTTTCAAATGAACAGTATAAAATGCCAATCTTCAATAAAATTAAATTTTCCTTCATTTTTTACTTAAAAATCAGAAATTAACCCAAATAATAATCTATGAATTGTTTATAGTAGAAGGAGATCCTTCATTCTCTTAAATTCTCTGACTTGAGAAATTTTTCTGAAATTATGCTTTGCCATAAGCAAGTCCACGTATATAAAGAACATGTGAACAAAAAGGCAGGACTCAGGGCTAGGGTAATCAGGAGAATAGAGTCTGAGGATTAAGGAAGATTTAAAAGTCTAACAAGTACATCCTATCTCAAAGAGTCTCATAGTTTGACTTTTTTCTCCCACTTTTCAATGTCATATTCCCTGAAAAGTCATCAGTTTAAAATTTCACATTGAAATTTCTCCAGGTCTCTTGGGTAGAACTCTGTTCCATTCCCTTCTTAAAGTGATTAAATCAGATTGTTATCCTCCTAATACCTAGGTAACAATAGCTAAACTGGGAGAATTAGTTTGTCTCCTGGAGCAAAACTCAGGCAGAAATTGTTTCCTTTTATTTTATAAATCTACTTAATTTTCTCTCACTTTGTGAGAAAATTTATATACATTATCCTTTAAGTTAATGATCCCTTTAAATTGTGTGTTAAAAGTGACTCTGTCAAGAAAAATAAATCACTCTTGTCCAAGTCTCCAGTCATATCCATGTTGTCATATTCAATGGTGATTTTTCTCAGTACCCATTTTAATGTATCAGTAGCATCCGAAAGAATTGTTCATCTTGAAATACTTTGTTCACAGGCCTTTGAGGTTATTCTATCTCTTAAGCTTCCTCCTAATTCAGTCTACATTGCTGCAAAGCTTTTATCCTTCTAACCTCTAAATGTTGTAGTTACCCAGGAATTAATTCATGGATTCTTATGCTCTCTACGTACATTTACATTTTTAGTTTATCTAAATTAGTTTTAACTAATCTGTAACTCAATCCTGTCCTAATCCCCATACATAAGACTGACATACCCGACTGCCTATTTAATAATTGAGATTGTAGAAACTTACTGACTTAAATACGCACATTTCCACTGGTATTTTGAGAGAGATGAAGAGTTCTTAAAAAGAAAGTGGTTTATTAATGTTGAATGTTCATCTCCACTATTTCAACGATTAATTATATTAATTATTGAGTTGCACCTTGACACTGTCACCCACATTTGCAAGTTAACCAAATTCAGTCTTTTTGAAGTCATTTATTTCAAAGTGAATGAGGAATCTAAAGTGAGCATCTATGGAGAAGGAACACACACTGTATTTTGAGAATAGGGCAGTAGATTCAGCAGTTAAATTCAACCTACTCTGAAGATAGCCCCAAGGTTACCCTTATAGCACCAACTGATTTTTAAATAAGTATCTGAAATTTTTAACGTTAAATGAGAAACTAAAAAAAAAAGTAAGAAGCTAAGAAACTAGACTTCACTTTTGGTAGGAAAGATAGCATTTGTTCTTTTGAGTATTCTACTTCTGTTTACATCTAACCTACTGCATTTCAACATGTCTAGATCAGTTTCGTGTGTTTGTATTATTTTCATTCTTGTTTCTTTTAAACTGAACTTTAAAATGGTACTATTGCTTTCAAACAGCTGATGTGATTATCCAAGGTTACAAAGTATTTGATGAGCATTTGATTATTTAGTAATTTAGGTTAAATTAAATATAATTGATTTGCTTGTTTTCTCTATTCATAGCCTTAGAAATACATCATTTAATTTTAAGAAGCAAGAGCTTTGTAAGATGTCTTTTTAAAGACGTGAACCTTGTATTTGGGGGCTCAAGTTAACCTGAGAGATTGCAACTGGCCTACTTCTTTAGGCAAAAATCTCTTGTACATTTTTTCCCCACAGGCAGTGCTTTTTATATGCCCAATTAATATTTATGGATTAATTAACTGATTTTAAAATATGTTAATTCAAGGTACTTACATAATAGTGCACTGCTTAAATTTTTATTTGCTGAAAGTTCACAAAGTATAAAACACAGCTGAAATTTTAACAAGCTCATTAATATATAAAACCTTGAAATCAACTTTGAGCTCTGACTCTCCATCTCTTTCACCCACCTTCTTCTTTGCTACATCTTACCAACCACTTCCAATTACTATAACAATTTGAATTCTAAAATGTCTCTTGAGAGTATAATTTATTATTCATTTATGGAATATCTACCATTTTTAACACTGTGCTTATGTTTGGGGGGAAATTCCCCTCCTTTGTTTCCTGCCTCTGTCAGATAGAAGTAAAAATATCCAGGTTTTCTAATCTTCTTTGTATTCAGGACCTAATCTGTAACAATTAAATAAATAGACTTGTTAGAGGGTCTAATTAAAAAATAAGCAGACTGAGTTAGGCCGCATACAGAATTCTTGTATTGGTTACAAGTGATGGCAGAGGTGCTTGGTAATGATTGTGAGGTCAAGATCCTAACAACAACGACAACAACAAAACAAAACAAAAATAAGGTCAAGATCTTGGCAAACAGGTAGCGGTGGCGTTACACTTGAATCTGGCAATAACGCTTGCTGTACGCCACCTACCGCGTGGTGGATATAGTGGGAGAGGTGTGTAATCAAGTAGCCTAGCTTTAAAACGCAATTTAAAACTTTTTTCTGTAAACTCAGAATACAGCTTTAAAATGTACTTGAAAACTCTCTTTCTTTTCCTTTCCCACCAGACACTACCTTGTGCCTTGCACATTTAGCTATGTGCATGTTTAGAAATTCCAAGGGCTAATTTTGAAACAAACCAGCCTCGGAGGCTCAGCTGTGGAATCCTCTCGCTTAAGGGGAGTCACAAACAATCAGGTGACCTCCATGATGCTGAGGTCAAGATGATGCCAACCAGACCTCCAGATGGGTAATTGCCCAAGTTAGCCTTCCGAAGAAGACACACAGTCTGCACCCTGAAACACGCTGTAAGTTTCTCACACGAAGTTTCCCTTTTTAAACGCCTTCACTCAGCCCAGAAAATTTGAAACGGTTTCTTAGAGGCATGAGCCTGGCCATTCCTCAACTGCCAGCCTTTGATTAATAAGCTGCTTTCCTTCCACCACACCTCGTTTCTTACATATTCAGCTTCTCAGATGGAGAGAGCTGGACTTGTGCTTGGCTACATTTTCTTATCAAGTTGATTTGGTAGCCAAGTTTGTAGCATTATTACCACAACCCCAGCTGGGAACCTGTGAATAGTTATCTAGCTTTCTCAGTAGTTCTTTGAACTACTTAATATTCTTTTAATAACCTCATGTTCTGCTTAATCTGTCAGTCAGCTTTTGTACTTGCAATATTGAACACTTAATACTAACCGTTTCTAAATACAATCATTTTTCCCCTCTCTGCAAATGATCAGGTCCTTATTATTCTAAATTATCTTCTAACTGATCTCCTTTCAATGATCTTCCTCTTCTGCAATAAATCATATCAGCAAATTTTCTAAACATGAAACTTATCATGCTAATGTTTTTTGATTTAACATATCTGATACAATTATAGTATGATTTGGCTTACCAATTTTAATCACTTCACTAAAACAATCTTTTCTTTCTTGTATTTGCTGAGAAAATCAACTTGGACCAAATATCGTTGGGGGTTTTGGTTGTAAAAATATGCAGGCAATAGAAGATTAATGTTAAAAAAAAGAAACTAATTGAGACTTCTTTTGCTATGGCGGGTCTCTTCAAAAGGAGAGTAGATAGTTACGGAGAAACTTGGGGAAGGTGGTTTGGCAAGACCAAGGGCTTAGTCCTCCATCTTCTGGATTTGAGACATGACCTTGTCTTTGTCTCACGATTTAGTAGAATGATGAATGCCAAAATAGAAAAGATGGCGAGAGACTAATCTTAAAAAGCAGAATGCTAATTTCTTAGTCAAAATGATAAATATTAAGTGCCAAGTGAAGGAAAAGCAGTGTGGCTTGTGGACCGGTATATCCTCTCCATTTAGGGAACCTTCCTGGGAAACCAATTGACAGATGTTGCTGGCTGAGCTGGAAATCAGAGCAAGACCACCCACTGTAATAATTTAAAGGTTTCCTGGTCCCAGACTCTGATGTTCACATCTTGCTGACAGACAGATTGCCACAAAGATTGAACACTTGACTTTGTCTGAAAGAATACAGTCTTCCCAGATCGTGCTCGGAGGTGCTCTGATTTTCACCTGGGAATGGCATTTCTTTGTGTTCATTTTTATCCTATCTCCTTTACGTGATGCTGGCTATCTCAATTAGGATCCACAATATGTTGATTTTAGAGTTTAACACTCAGAAGATATGTTATATACGCTTCAGTTTTAGTTTTGTTGCCATATTTGCTAAAGGGGGTGCAGGCTTATGTTTAGTGTTATAATAACTGCTTTTTTAATGCTGTGTACTTTCCACTGAGGTCAGTGTACTTTCCACTGAGGTCAGTGGAAATATGGTTTCATTGTTAATCTTTGCATTCATGTCCTCATATAGTTTATTAGAAGTTAGTAATTAAAGTGAGAAGATAACCATAATGAAATGGGAAAAGTTCCCTCGTCCCCTTCGCAGGGCATGGGACTGGGGAGTGGATGGCTTCTTCAGTGCCCCCCTGCTTAAATCTAGGGGAGCACACAGGCAGGCAGGCTGTGGGGCTCTGACCCCATGGCAGTGTCTAGTGTGGACGTTTGCAGCTCATGATGCTCCAGCGGGTGGTTGCTATCGTGTGCTCTTTTCGTTTTGCTGTTTATGGGTGGTTGTGTTAACCAGCTCAATGACAGCCTCTACCTAAGAACAGGGGGCTTATCTGTATCTCAGATTCTTGCCTTGGTGTACAGGAAGAATCAGATCACACCTGGCTTGGAGAATGAGTGCAAGGCTTTATGGAGTGGAGGTAGCTCTTAGCAGATGGGAGAAGCCAGAAGTGGGGAGAAGCCCGCAGTCAGCCGCTCAGCAGCCTGGGTGTCCTCTGACCGTCCCAGCCACATTCTGCATGGTCTGCTTCTGCCAGGCAGTGGCCTGCTGGTGCTGGTCAGTGCATGCCTGTTGACATCCAACCACCCCTGTGTTCTTCCACTGATGTGCTTCTCTCAATTTCCAGCCGCCTGTGTGTCTACCCGCTAGGGTCTAAGGGTTTTTATAGGCACAGAATGGGGGTGTGGCAGGTCAGGACATTCTTGGGAAATGCAACATTTGGGCAGGAAAACAAAAATGCCTGTCCTCACCTAGGTCTGGGGGTGTTGAGAGAGCCCTAGCCAGGGACACACCCTGCTCTACCCAGGGCTTCCCTTCCCCTCTTCCTATCATTTAAGGGGACCACGTTCTTCCTTTCCCACCACTTCTCTTCTGCATCAATACATAACATCCCTATTTGTGAAAAAACATCAAGTAGCTTTTGAACTCTTATCTTTTGTTATTTTATTTTCTAGTGCTAACTAAATAATTCTGAAATGTGTTTCTTTAAGAGAAGTGGAATTTGGTTTGCATTATGTTTCTTCCTTTCCTACATCGCCAGATTCAAAAGAAATTTGATGAGCATTGCCACATATCACCTAATTAAATTATCATAAGCATTCTCAG